GCTATAGGGAGTGTGCGCTCTCCAGACAGAGAGAGACATAGAGACAGAAAGCGAAAAATCACCCCCCAGGGGGGATGGTCATGCCACAATCCCTTCTCCTCCATTCTCCTCTTGGGATCTTGAGCATGCACGCACACGCGCCCGGCGTGAGTTTTAAGCCACCAGGTCCAGGACACGAACCATGGTCGACTACGTGGGAGTCCAGTGACATAGCCATTACGCTAACTGCTGGTTCCCAAGAACCCCAATTTTTTAGTTGGCCTCCTAAGAGAAAAACAATATCCCTTCAGGTTCCTGTTCAGCATAGACTGCTATGTGACCAAGGCTAAGTTCTAAGTAATGGGACAAAAGCAGGGAATATGCTGCCTTCTTGGCTCCTCTCTGCTGGCTGGAATATGACACAACAGCTGGAGCATGGGCAACCTTCGTGGGCCCTGAGGTAGAAGTCATACATTAAGGATGAAAGAGTGACCAATTAGAAGGGGCCTCGTGGTTGTGGACCCATCACACCAGTTCTGGTCTCCTGCATCTACATGAGAGAGAAAAATGTTTGCCATGTTTAAGCTTTGATAACTTTGTGATGTCTCTTGCTTTCAGCCAAATATAATCCAGACAAATGCCTCTGTGACCCCCTGTCACAGATGAGAAAACTGACGCAAGGGGACAACCACTGTGGCCATAACACAAGCCTCACGACGTCAGCAACGACCAACATTGACAGAGCCAGGCCTTGCCTCCTCGGCCTCCTGGCCTTTCATTACCCATTAATTCCCCAGGACTCCAAACAACTCCCATTCCCTGAACTGTACACCAAGCACGTGCTCAGCTTCTGGCCTTTGCCCTGAGCCTCCCTCCCTTACCTTTCCTGCTCAGGGAAATCTTACTCATCTTTGGGCAATTCACTTTCCCTAGCTTCAGTTTTCTTCTCTACAGAAGGGGCCACAGGGCGCGTCTGTCACGTGCCTGGCACACAGTAGTGGTACCTGCACAACACGGCTGCCCACGCCTTTCCCCCCAGCCTCCCTGATCTCAACCGCTGCACTCTGCAGGAAATGGAAAGGTAGCAAAATTAAAACAGCGGCATTACTGGGCTCCTGCAACTGTGAAGGAGAAAGTCATAGTTCAGGTAAGGTTTGCTCCAGGGGCGCGTGCTAATAGCATAGCTAAGATTGATTGGGTGCTCTCCTGACTGCTGTGTTTACTAACTTCTCCATCAGCAAACCACCCAATGAGGTGGGTGTACTATTATCCTCATTGTCTGTGTGAGGAAAAGAATGTGCCCATGGTCACACAGCACACAGCAGTAGGGCTGAGACTTACACCTGAGTCTAACTGGAAAAGTAGATGAGCTTTTGAGACCAGCAGTTGGTGTAATGGCTAGGTCACTGGACTCCCATGTAGTTGACCACAGTTCAAGTCCCAGATCCAGTGGCTTAAACTCCCACCGGGCGCGTGTGCATGTGTGCCCAAGATCCCAAGAGGAGAATGGAAGAGAAGGGATTGTGGCATAGCCATCCCCCCAGGGGGTGATTTTTTGCTTTCTGTATCTCTGTCTCTCTCTGTCTTTCTGGCGAGCACACACGCCCTATAGCAAAATCCTCTCCCCCACCCCCCAAAAAAGAATGCAGAATGACAAAGGCATTTAGCATGTTCCAGCCATAAGGTAGGTCCCCGATCCACCTGCATGTGCATACAAGGAGTCCAGAGACCACCCTGCATATGTGGCATACGTGTGCCCATGATCCAGAGGCTGGCCTGGCACACACACCCTCTGGCACATCAAATAATAATAATGATAAAGTAGAAAGGCAAAGGACAGGATGAGATAAAATATTTGCAAATGGCATACCTGATAAGGGATTAATATCCACGATATCTAAAGACCTCTTAAAAGTCAACGATACAAGTACAAATAATCCAGTTATAAAAGGCAAGAGATGTGATTTTAAAGATTCATTTTATTTAGCTCTTTTTATTTATTTACTTACTTATTTTAATTTTGCCAGAGAGGAACAGAGAGAGAGAGAGAGAGAAGGAAAGTGGGAAAGCAAGTCACCAAGTATGGGATTCGAACCATGGTCAGCCATAGGGGGAGTCCGGCACCCTTAACCTACATGCCACCTGCTGGCCCCAAGAAAGGGCAAGAGATTTGAATAGACATTTCTCAAGAAAAGATGTAGAAATGGGGGACTAGCAGTTGGTGTAAAGGCTATGTCATTGGACTCCCATATAGTGGACCACGGTTAGAGTCTCAGGCCTGGTGGCTTAAACTCATGCCAGGCGCGAGTGCGTGTGTGCCCAAGATCCGGAGAGAGTGGAGGAGAAGGGATTGAGGTGTGGCCATCCCCTCTGGAGGGTGATTTTTTGCTTTCTGTCTCTCTCTCTCTGTCTCTGTCTTTTGGAGAGCTCCTACGCCCTATAGCAAAAACCTCTCCAAAAAAAGAAAAAAGAAAAGATATATGAATGGCCAATAAGCACATGAAAAAACGCTCTGTATCCTTAGTCACTAGGGAAATGTAAATTGAACGCACAGTGAAGGCCGGCTCCATGGCCTGGTGGTCAAGACAGCCAGATTCCACATGACCAACCACATGGTTCGAACCCCAGACCTGACACCTTGAGAAGCACACAGGACACATGCATGTGTGCCCGGAATCCCAAAAGGAGGCCGAGGTGGGGGAGGAGGGGTTGGGGATTGTGGCATGACCCTTCCCCTGGGGGGTGCTTTCTTATCTCCCTTGTTCTGTCTCCCCATGTCTCTCTAGCATGCACGTGCTCACACACACACACACACACACCCCACAATGAGATACCAGCTCACATTCATTCGGATGGCTCTGGCCCCAGATGGAAAATAAGCACTGTTGGCGAAGACGTCCGGCAACCGGAACAGTTACATGTTGTTGGTGGGGGATAAAAATGGTGCTGTTGCCATGGGAACAGGGTGGCGTTTCTTCAAAAACTTCAACTTGGAGCTATCATTTAACCCTGCAATTCTGCTCTTCAGTAAATCCCCACGGGAGATGAAACATGTGTCCACACAAAACCCTGTACCCCAGCACGCACCATCCCTAACAATCGAACATGGAAAACACTCAACATCCGACTAGCGAATGCACAGACATCACGTGTCTGCCTGTGCAGCAGAAGGGCGTGCAGCAGGTAGACAAATGCCATCCTGACCTATGACCCTTGAAAGCGTCATGCCAAGGGAAGGAAGCCAGTCAGAAAGGTCAGAGAGTGCTCCGTTGTGGGAATTGCTCAGAGAAAACACATCCCTAAGGGCAGGAGGTACACTGTGTGTTCTGTTCTTGCAACCCAGTAAACACCCTCCTGCTTCAGACTTCGGCTTGCGGCTCCCTGGCCGTGGAGTCATTTGCTCCCAGATACTGGCACAGCTGGCTGCCTTACTTTCTTTAGGTCTTGACTCAACTGTCACCCGGAGTAGGGCTTCCCTGACCTTTCCCCCCACCTCCAGCAGGACTTTGTCAGGTTCCCTGCTATTTCCCTAGCATATTGACTGGGCCACGTTAGTTCTTAATAAATGAGTTGAATGTTGGGGGCTGGCAGGTGGCGTGGTGGTTAAAAGCTCTGGATTCCCACATGCCCAATGGCAGTTCAAGTCCCAGACCTGGTAGCTTGTTTTCTCACTTTTTCTCTCTCTCTCTCTCTCTGGTCAAATTGAAAAATAATAATAACATGGGACGAGCAGTTGGCGCAATGGCTATGATGCTGGACTCCCATGTGTAATCACCCAGGAGTGATTTCTCGCTTTCTGTCTCTCCATCTTGCTGTCTGTCTGGTGAGCACATGCCCTATAGCAAAAGCCTCTCAAAAAAAAAAAAAAAGAGGAAAAGAAAAAGACACTAGGTATGTGTGCCTGCATGCCCAGAATCCCAACCCAGAATCCCAAGAGAATGAAAGAGAAGAGATTGATTGCAGTGTGGCCGTTCCCTCTTAGGGAATCTCTCTCTCTCTCTCTCTCTCTCTCTCTCTGTCCCTCTCTGGTGAGTACATGTGCTCTATAGGAAATTAAAAAAAAAAATCAAACAAAAACCAAAGTCAACAAATGACGAGAAACAGGACCAACATTTGAATCCCATGTAGTTGACCACGGTTTGAGTCCTGCACCTGGTGGCTTAAACTCACACCAGGCATGTGTGCTTTGTGCTCCAAATCCCAAGAGAATGGGGGAGACAGGACTGTGGCATGGCCATCCCCCCTGGGGGTGATTTCTCGTTTTCTGTCTGTCTCTCTCTGTCTTTCTGGTGCGCGCACGCGCCCTATAGCAAAAACCTCTCTAAAAAAGAAAAAAGACCAGAAACCAGTCAGCTTCACCAGAATTTGCCAAGTGTGGGCTGTGGCCTATCCCAACATTGAAGGGAGGCTTTTCCTCCCAAGGAAGGGAGGTGGTGTCAGGAGGACACTCAGAGGGAGGTTTTGACTGGGGACAGTAAGACATCCCAGCAGGAACATCCAGGAAACAGCCCTGGGATGACCTGCAGTCCAGGGATCGAGGGCTTAAACCTTCAGAAAACTCAAAACGGGATGGAGCCCCAAAGAGACATTCTGGAAGGTGACCATTCTGCCGGGCGCCTCCTCTCCAATCCTTCCAGGAGCTCTTGCCCGATCCCCTGTAAGGAATTTATCTGTAAGAAATTTATGTCAGCAGTTACTCGAAGTCAGCGAGACCTCTGGTACCTGCTGAAGAATTAAAGGCATGTGGCTGAGATATTTGTTATTGGGCATGTGTGCTCACCGGAGAGACAGAAAGACAGAAAGTGAGAAGTCACCCCCCATGGGGCATGGCCACATCACAATCCCTTCTCCTCCATTCTCCTCTGGAGATTTTGGGCATGCACGCTCACGCAGCCGGTGTGAGTTTTCTACTGAAACTAGAAGCGTGGTCGACTACGTGGGAGTCCAGTGTCATGACCACTACAGCATCTGCTGGTCCCTGAGCCACACATTTAAACGAGCCCTTACTGACTTTCTACCAGGCCAGCTGCTGATCCAGAGTGGGGTTTCCCTGGGCACCGAGCAAGGCTCTGCTCTCGGGAGCCTGTTTTCTGGAGGTGGGGACTGGATCTGCCAGTTCATTGCCATGACAAGCGCTGTGAAGACAAAACAGGGTGATGTCACAGTGACAGGAGGAGGGGACAACTTTGAGCATGGTGATTAGGGGCGGCCACTGGGAGGAGGCAAACTCATTGGCTATTCAGAGTAAATAAGCGAAATGATACTCGGCTACCTCTGGGCGCAGCGTCTAACAGATATTAGACTCTCAAGAAATCCTATAGTAACTCTCATTGTCATTTTCATGAGTTTCCTGTCCTGTCCCTGCTGCAGGCTCGAGATTTCTCCTCTCAGGGGGCACAGCACAGAGCAGGCACACAGCTGGTGTATGCACGGTCCTCCCAACCTCTGCACGAAGTAGGGCTGAATAATCTAAGCCACGTAAATGGACCCCCACTAGGGAGCGCTGTATCAAGTGCCCATAAAGCGCTACCCGGCCCAGCGCTCTCCCCTCGCGTTCCTTGCACACAGTAGGCGATTAATGCCGCGTGCTTAAGGTATGTCCATTTCTGGGCCCTGGCTTGGTCGCGTTCACGGGCCGATAACCCACGGCCGAGGTGGAAGAGCCCCAAGCGCCTCCCCTGCCGGAATCCGGCCCACGCCGGGGCGGAACCCGGCAAGCAGGGAGCGCCACTACCCCACGCTTCCGCGCCCAGCTGCGCCCAGCTGCGGCCCT